AAAAAACATTGCGCTTAAACTTATTATGTACATCATATATATTAAATAATATAACGCAAACAGTTGTTATTAATTGGAGTTGTTCTTTCGGATCGGTATTATCTATGGGTGTTCCTCAGGGCTCAATACTTGGCCTCTTCCTTTTCTTGTTTGATATTAATACTAGTTGATCTGTGCCCGTTTCGCTGGGCGTCAAACATTTTTACTTGTGATGAAATTATCTTGTGTGGTTCTTAGTACTGATTGTTTAGAATTTATTTTATATCTTGTTATCTGCTAGTGTGTATCGGGCGAGTATGTCAGTTGTTTAAGACTTCTCTGTATATTTTATTTGATGTTGTGTGATAAGCCAAAATATAACTGGCCATGGGAAAAACACTCCTTTTTCAAGTCAATGCCCACCAAAGAGAATGTTTGACCCTGGAACTTATTTATCGTGAGGGCAAATGAACTTTTGAACGACATTGGCAAATCCGTTGGAATCATAGGTATCTGCGGAATATGATCAAGCTTTCCCACTACTGGCCACGTGAGGATGGTCACCACGATTATTATTATATTGTCCCGCAATTCTTTTATCAGTCTAGTGCCATTACACATGTTGGGAAGGCTCAAGCATGATAGGAATGCCGACTTTTAACATAATATCGTGAGGTGGTAGGCCAGAATGGCTCAAATAAGTTTAAAAATTCTAGAGGGTAGTGCACTGTATTCTCAATATTTCACACCGTGTCAACTGACTTATACTGATTGACTTGACCGGAAATTTTCTGTAAAATCAGTCTATTTATTTTATTCACTGTATCGTTTCTGGGTGACACTATTGCACTTAAACAAAGTCAGTCATTTCAATATAGATTGACGTCTATGAAAAATACATCTAAATATCACAATATAGTTTTTTTTTACTTTTAACATAATTCCGCGGCACTACATATCTATATTTTATGTTTAATACACAACAGAGGTTGAACATTATATTCACCTATATCAAACCGTTTAGTCAGCGCACGCCGAAAAATCAACGCATCAGCCCGTTTTTCTCGGAATTGATTGACAAATATTGTTTTTTCACATATAACTTTCAAATATTATTAATCACAATCAAATATAGCCTATGTCACTCAGGAATAATGAAGCTTTCTACTGGCTTTTAAGGATTTTCAAAATCGGTTCAGTAGTTCTAGAGATTACTTCCTACAAAAAAACCCACAAACTTCCAAACTTTACCTCTTTATAATATTAGTATAGATAACAATAATATAGTTTTATTTGCTGATGATTCTTTGTTGATTTTCCGACTTGAACGGCAATTATTAAAATATGACGAAGTGAATAATGCTATATCAAAAGTAGTACACCGGTTTAACGTCAACAGTTTGCTTTTAAACGGTAACAAAACTATAGATATATTAAATTAACAACACCAAATGTTAAACCGATGAATACCAGTGTGTTTTTAAATTCAGAACAGCTGAGTCTTGATGAATCCACTATTTTTCTCGGAATTACTGTTGACGCGAAGCTTCAATGGAGCCTCCATATATCTAAACAAGCGTTTGTTTTTCAGAAGAGAGCCATATCTGCAATTTATAACCTGGGTCCTAAGAAATTCCCTAGAGAAAAATTGTACAAAATATTATTACGTAAATCAATGTTTAAAAAAGTTCCGCTGGGTTTCTTCCTGGTTCTTCCTAGAACGGAAGTTTTTTTACAAACCAGTGGTAAAGCTTATAGACATTTAATAAGTATTCCTGTAATTTTATTCTATATTGAATAATAATTTTAAAAAACCCTCGGAGCTGATGATATCAAATGGCTGAAAAGATTTTCTTCAATCATAGTTAGGAACACTTATGATCAAGTCACCTTTTTTACGTGGTAGAGCCATGCTACAGCTATATCAATAGTACAGTTGTAGCACGAATGGGTCGGCTCGATCGGGGAAGGACCGCGCTCTCACAGAATACCAGCGTAAAATAGCAGCTTAATACTGTGTTTCGTTTGGTGAATGTAGAGAACCGGAAACCCTTTTTACTGGAAAAGAAGAATTCCATCTTAGTCCTCACGGCTGAGAACGCATCGGAATTTTATTCGTAAACGAGGATAGATGTAGATGTCTATGGGCCACAACAACCACTTACCATCAGGTGGACTGTGTGTCACCCTTCTATAAAAAAAATTAAATTGCTTCATCCGTTTAACCCTTAAATGCATAGAATATTTATGATTATGAATTTAAAAATAAAAAAATTATGCATGATGCAGAAAAAGTTTCTTTATATATAAAAAAATGTTAAAATAGTTGTAGTAATTTATTTTTTCATATAATATATTATATATCATGCGATGGATTTTTCCATCACTATGCACTTACAGTTAATATACCTATAGGTAATTGCCATATTTGATATTAGGTAGTGTGAAACCTAGTAAAACAGTTATTATTTTTGTTTAGGCATAAATTTATGCCACATTTGGCACAGCTTATGGTGGTGTATCCTGTACAATGTGGATACTTACAACGAAGCGACACACCAACATCTGGCCAGTGCCCTAGACCATCCATCCGTATATCCAATGGAGGGATTGGTTTTGATTGTAACCTCTTCTTCTTAGCTTGCAACTCCTGCTCCAGGCTGGAAGAGCTAGGCCGACCTCTTTTATTTTCGTTTGTGCCTGAGTTACATAAAACATAGGCCAGCTCGTTTCTGAACTCACCTAAGTTTAAAATGTTCTTTTTTGCAACATTTTCTTTTATTGCATTATTTTTATATATAATCCAGGAGTTGATAACAGCCAGATCAAACAAATGGAAAAATATACGAATATACCATTTACGAGATTTTACTCTTATGTGATATCTACCCAAGAAACTATCTAACAAGTCAACACCCCCCATATGACTGTTATATTCTGTAATGGACTTTGGACACAATATATCAACTCTTTCCCTCGTCTTTTTATCAAACCTTTTGACGGTTGAAACAGGCTCTGTTCCTACGTAACTTTATAACATAGTCACTATTTTATTGTCCTTCCATGCTATGCAAGCTAAATCAACTCCCTCATATGACGCTGTTCTTTCTTCATAAGTACCCCTAGGGGTATTTTTTTTCATCATCTCTTTTTTGTCTGGTAGCTTGTTATTAGGAATTCTGTTTTGTTGAATTGTGCCAAGGCAATGTATTCCTTGCTTAGCCAAATAGATAACTAATGGCACAGATGTATAGAAATTATCAAAGAAGATAATATGGTTGACCATTCGTGGAACATCTCTGGTTAAGCGAAGCACAATGTTATTTGTAGAACCTAAGTCAGGCTCACCTTCAGGTCTTGTCGAAATGTCTTGGCCAGAATAAATTTCAAATTTGTAGGCAAATCCAAAAACACTACATAAAACATACAACTTAAATCCCCACTTATGGGGCTTATTTGGTAGATATTGTTTTAGATAATGTCCCACTTTGGTGGCACACATTTGTTCATCAATTGATAGTCTTTGATGTTTTTTTACACTGGAAAAGGTTTGATTTAGACTATCAATAATTGGTCTCACCTTATATAAGCGGTCATGTCCTGGTTGGTTAACTGGTATATATTTGTCATTATCATTGAAATGGATATATTTTTTGATCTTTTCAAATGTATTCACATTCATAGTTTGCTTTATAGGTTCAAATCCAAAACGCCTTGACCAGTACTTGCGTGTGCTGGGGAAATGCTGAACAGACATGTAAAGCAGAATGCCTAAAAACTTTTTCAGGTCAAATTAAATCTATTTTCAGGATTTAATTGGGTGGCATATAGATTAGTTTCTGATATTATTTTGTTACAAAGTTCAGTTGTAAAAAAGTAGTTAAAGCATTGATATGGTGTTTTTAGGGCTGTTATTTCAGTACCTAGATCAGTGCTTCCTTCAAATTCAACATTTGACTCAGAAAACTGAAGTGTACTCTTCTTCCAAATCAGCTTCCTCTTGTCTAACACCCAAGTCGAACAAGCAGAGTTTTCTCCTGCTTTAGATGCCACAGTTTCTTGAATCAGAGGGGGATCATGCACATCAACTTGTTCTTCATGTAAAGTAGGTTCATTTTCCAGATTATCATCATCCTCTACGTCTTGCAGCGGTTCATTTCTATTGGTGTAAAAGATACTTTCCTCATTATCTTCCGTATCAGACATTTCCATGCCATCTTCTGACAGATATCCTCCTTCCAGAGCAGACAAGTACTCTTCAATGTCTCTATCATTGATTATTCTTGATCTTGGAAAAGACATTTTTGCTGAAATATTACATAAAAATCATTATAAACTTGAGATAAACTATAAAAGAATAATTATGCTGAAAAGTTAGGTTTCCATACATCGAGAACTACGACTAATGCATATTGATGGAAATTTCCATCATAAACAAAAAGACCCAGAATACAACTAAAAACTATGATTCTTCTAAAACAAATTGCCTAGGTATTGAAAACTTACCTTATTTTATGAAATAATAATTTTTTCAATAATTACTTGTTCGTATAAGTTCACAAAATAACAATCAGAAACACCACAAAACACAAGTAGTTATCGTTTCACTTGAACAGATGATTGACCATGACAGTTGACATTGACAGTTTTTTTTTCGTTCAAAAATGTTGCCTAAACATCGATGTTCATATACATGTCCGTAAATAAATTCATTCGGATCACAGACTAAAAATAAAGACAAAAATTCTTAACGATGGAAATTTCCATCACTATGAAATTAAGGGTTAAGAGCTACGATGCAACAGACAGACACACAAATACACACGTTAGACATATAACACCTATCTTTTTCGTCGTGGGTTCTATTCTATTCTATCCCATGTTAGTTCTCAGTGGTGACTGGTGAGTGGTGAGTGGTCAGCTTTCTTTGTTTGAAGCTAGCAGTACGTGTCCATGGGTTGCAGTAGATATTTACCAACATTATGGTAGACTGTTAGTTCGCTTGTCACTTTGATAATATAATGTGTTACGATCATTACGGTGTAGAAACGGGCGAGGGGAGCGTGGCGGAGGCAGCCGCGGAGGGTGGCGGGTCGTGTGCGACGCAGGCGTGGGGCGCATGGGGTCCGTGCAGCGTCACGTGCGGTCCGGGCCGCGCCGTTCGCCAGCGCCACTACGTATGGCCGGCGCGTGCTTTCGCGGACGCCTGCCGCGCCTTGCTCACCGACTATCGCCGCTGCCACGGACCCAGGGCGCATTGCAGGTTTTTAAAACCGGCTGTACATGTTGGCCGAGCGAAGGCGAGTACCAACGTATAGACAGCCCATTTGTCTAGCCTCGCCATTGCTCATCGACGCTCGCATAGCTCGCCGAGTGCAGGCGAGCGCCAACGTGTATACGGAAAGTTTGGCGTGCCTTGCCACCACTCGGTCTCACTTCGGAACAGTGTCGGTTATTTTGCATAAATCAAAGGCGCTCGCCTGCACTCGGCAAGTTGCGTCCACATCCACATGTTAGTCGGCCATGTCAGTAACAGCTTGGCATCCGTCCTGTTTAGATGTTATGTTTTAATTAAGTTGCAACTTCAAAATAATTTCGACAATGTCACTGCCTCTTCTTTTTTACAACTGTACTGCGGAGTACACTGACATAATAATTATATGCACTCATCAAATAAATAGCAGAACTTACATCGTCCAACTACATTGGCCAACATATATTGCCGTGGTAACCTTCGTTAAATATCACATCAGGACGTCAAATACCTCAGGCCTCCTCTGATCATAGTTGCTGTGAAGCGCCCGACACGTCAGGAATTAAAAAGTTAAAATTAAACGCGATAAAATCCGTAAAACTAGTTTCATTTAATGTGTAGTAACTATTCGCGTAAATAAAAGAAATCGTAAGGTTTTTTAAGTTTATTTTTTTTGTTTGCAACATGATGTGACCAGGATTAAGAAAGGAATGTTTCGGTAATTTGGTCATGTAGAAAGAATGAACGAGGAAAGAGTGACAAAGCAAATTTATCTTGCAGAAGGGACCACCTAGACGAAAGTTTATCGCTCAAATTAGGGGTATATCGAAAATGGGCCAAATTAAGAGTACCCTTAACCGACGTGCATGTATGCTTAGGTACGAGTATATGGATGTGGAGGAGGCGAAAGAGGTGTGGCAGGATCGTGACAAATGGAAGTCCGTAGTCTCCGCCTACCCCTCTGGGTGACAGGCGTGAGTGTTTACGTATGTATTAATTCGGTTCAGTTTTTTACTCGAAATCGGTGAGCATACATAAAAAGCGTTTTTGTACGTGGTAGAGCCATGCTGCAGCTATTTTATTGTATAGTTGTAGCACGAATGGGTCGGCTCGACCGGGGAAGGACCACGTTCTCACAGAATACCACCGTAAAATAGCAGCTTAACTCTGCTGTGTTTCGTATGGTGAGTGTAGAGATCCGTTGACCCTTTGTACTGGAAACGAGGCGTTCCATCTTAGTCCTCACGGGTGACAACGCATTTGCATCTTGATTCGTAATCAAGGATAGATGTAGATGTCTATGGGCCACAGCAACCACTTACCATCAGGTGGACTATGTGCTCGCTTGTCACCTTTATTCTATAAAAAAAGCATACGCGTTGAATATAGAACCTCGTTCTATTTTGAAATTGGTTAAAAATATAACAGAGTAAAGGCTGAGTACGAGGCGGAGCCGGCGGAGGCGCACGGGCCGTGCGCGGTGTCGCAGTGGAGCGAGTGGTCGCCGTGCGAGGGCTGCGGCGTGCGCGCGCGTACGCGCCACTACCTGACGCCGCGCGCCCGCAAGCGCTGCCACGTCGGCTTCCGCGCCGCCGCCGTCATGAGCCAAGCCATACCGTGCGACAGTGGACCTTGCTACAAGTTGGTGTCCCACGATAAACGATGCTCTTTGCGCAAACGTTCACGCACTGCTTCCGATCCGAATTCGAGTAAACACAAATCTAGAAAACTCGTTCCGAATTTTAAAGTCGATTATGCACTGTGCTCGATCCGAATCCGAGAAACATACTGTGGCCGTGTAAGGAAAAGGGGTGATCACCTGCCGAGCAAAGTGTTCAACTCTGGGAGTGGCCAACGCTTTGTGTATTATTTTGGAGGTGTTCTATATACAGCGCATTAACTTCCGAACTTTGATAGCGCAATTTTAAACCCCTAAGAGGGTAAATAGCGTGCTATAGATTCGTCGATCAACAGTTAGTATTGTTGATAGAAGTATAGATTGTAAGAAACTTTTTATTTTACAGGGCGATTGACTCTAAACCTACTGCAAGTATTCTGAAAAAAAAATTAAATAATAGTTTATTCACTTAAAAACTGATGCAAATTTTCTTGAATTATAAAATATCCATAATATTTTTTATCAAAATTCACTCTTAAGGTTTTAAAAACAAGGATGCAAAGTTTTTAAGCATAATGTTACGAGCTTGGGGTTCGAGACAATTAAAAACTGCCGATTGAATTACCAAAATTGACACTTTAATTACACAACACTAATTACAATCTAAAATCACACTAATAATAAAACACAGTTCGCCGTTATTTCGCTACGAAGTATTCTCTTGTATCGCCAATTCAATACTTCGTAGCGAAATAACGGCGAACTGTGTTTTATTATTAGTGTGATTTTAGATTGTAATTAGTGTTGTGTAATTAAAGTGTCAATTTAGGTAATTCAATCGGCAGTTTTTAATTGTCTCGAACCCCAAGCTCGTAACAATTGGTGTCAGAAGTGGGATCAAATATGCCGATTTTACCTAAAGACGACACGGAGGGTATCCGTACCCGAAGTCAACGCCAACAGGAGACGGACCAGAGACGATTTGGTAATGCAACGCCGCAAACGTCGGAGGGCCAGTTGCTAACCACGGAGGCTGGCCCGTCAGCAGCTCCTGCATCTGCAGCACCTGACTTAGGTGCTCTGATGATGATGCTGCAGGATCAGGCTCGCCGACAGGAGGAACAGGCCCGCCGACAGGAGGAACAGGCTCGCCGACAGGAGGAACAGGCCCGCCGACAGGAGGAACAGACCCGTCGGCTGGAAGAGCAGCTGCAGCGCGGTATGGAAGAACAGATGCTCCTCAGGAAGGACCTTCACGCTACCTTCGGGAAAGAGATAAAGGAGGTGAAGGATAGGGTTGCTCAACATGACAACCGCCTGTCGGAAGCTGAAACCCGAATCGACCAAGTGAACAATCGGGTTGACAACGTGATGGCTGATGTGAAGAAAACGCTGGACGACCTCAAACTTGGGGATGGAATCACAGCTCCCGTGGTAGCTACAACACCTTCGCTACGTGGATTCAAAGTGCCGCCGTTCGACGGGAGTTCTTCATGGTCGGCCTACAAAATCCAGTTCGAGGCTGTCATGAAAGCGAACGGCTGGAATAAAAGTCAGGCCATGACTGCTCTCACCCTAGGCCTACGCGACCAGGCCTTAACTGTTTTGGAAGCGCTCGGTAAGGAAGTGACTTACGAGCAGCTCCTTGAGGCATTGGAGGCGAGATATGGCGATGCTCACCTGGAACACGTCTTTCGTGCGCAGCTCAAAGATCGCGTGCAACGCAGTAACGAAAACCTGCAGCAGTGGGCCCTTGAGGTGGAGAAGCTGGTTCGAAAAGCGTACCAGTCTGTACCTGTGCTCATTGTAGGGAACCTGGTGCAGACTTTCATCGACGGCATCCGCGACCTTGAAGTCCGAGCTGCTGTGAGGCTCGGGCACCACGAGACGCTTAAGGACGCCGTGACCCATACACTGGAGGTGGAAGCCGTACGGCAGGATCATCGTTCCCACCGCGTCAGGGAGGTTGCAGCAGCTACAGTTCAGGACCGCAATAAGGGCTACAACCCTAGGTGCTAGGGCTGTGGGGAAAGGGGCCATCTTCGATCCAGCTGCCCTAAACGAACTGTAGAAAGGGAAGGTGATCGATCTCGAGAGGGTAGTGCGGATAATAGCACCGCCCAGCGGCAGCAGGGAAACGAGTAAAAGCCAGGACTGCGGGGCGGGTGCTGGCTGATGTTAAAAGAGCCCCAAGGATTTCGATCTCACAAACCCATGATGGGAACAGCCTAATCATCAAGGGCGAAGTCAACGGAACGCCGTGTAAACTGACCATAGACACTGGAGCCTCTCGCACGGTTGTCAGTTCCCAACTTATAAGTCGGTTCCTTGGGGACTCCGCATACAACCGAGAACGCATTAATTTGGTGACAGCCACCGGTCAGCGCATACCCGTCCGTGGAGAGAAGGAGATGGAGTTGAAGCTAGGCAACATGATCTACCTGCCTGATATGTCATCGTGGCTGATATAATGGACGACTGCATCCTGGGCCTAGACTTTATGAGGAAGAATTGTTGTGAGATCTACGTTAAGCAAGGTGTTTTGAAATGTGGACAAGAAGAACTTTTCGTGGAAGGGGCGTTACCAGGGAATGTGTACAGCCTTAAGAAGATTGTTCTTCCGCCGAGATCGGAAACGATTGTGCCGGTTAGTCTTCCTCGGAGTCCTGGGCAAGCCCATCGTTGTGTACTCGTGGAAAGGGTAGACAATGACCTTCCATGGAAAGTGGCTCGAACCTTGGTCAGAACCACCGACATCTCAGGAGTACGTGTGTTGAACCTTTGTGATCAGGAACAGATTATAGAAAAAGGCACATTGGTTGGTACTAGTGAGGAAGTGGATTGGTTGCGTCGATGCGAATATCTATCGACCGGGACCCCCAGCAAGGATGGACAAACGATAGTGACCACACTTTTAGAAGACTGTCGCAGCGTTCTTTCCCCGAATGAAATGGTCAAGGCGAAGAAGTTGTTACTCAAGTACGCCAATGTTTTCTCGTCAAACGAAGCTGACATAGGAAAGACTGGCTTAGTTCAACACAAAATAAACACAGGACAAGAATTGCCTATTCGTCAGCGGCCAAGAAGATTGCCTGTAGCACGTGAAAAGGAAGTGGAAACCATGATTGAGGGAATGGTGAAGGATGGTGTTATTGAACCTTCATCTAGTCCATGGTGTTCACCTGTGGTGCTGGTAAAGAAGAAGGACGGCAGCATGCGGTTTTGTGTTGACTACCGCCGCCTGAACGACGTTACAAAGAAGGACAGCTATCCCTTGCCAAGAATTGATGACACGCTGGACATGCTTACAAGCGTAAAGTGGTTTAGTACGCTAGATCTGAAAAGTGGCTACTGGCAGGTTGAAATTGACCCTAAGGACATGGAGAAAACTGCATTCTCCACAGGAAAGGGTCTGTGGCAATTCAAAGTCATGCCGTTTGGATTGTCCAATGCTCCAGCAACGTTTGAAAGGTTGATGGAGCTTGTACTTACCGGGCTAATTGGAGATGCTTGTCTGGTCTATTTGGATGACATCATCATCGTAGGCCGTACGTTTGAGGAACACCTTCAAAACCTCGAACGCGTGCTCATGAAGATCCAGAGTGCCAACCTCAAGTTGAGTCCAAAGAAGTGCTCACTATTCAAACGGCAAGTTAGTTTTTTGGGGTATGTAGTGTCGGAAGAAGGTATCCGCACGGATCCAGAGAAAATTGCTGCTGTCAAAGAGTGGCCGGTCCCAAAAGACAAGACACAGGTTAGAGCATTTTTGGGTTTGTGCTCTTATTATCGGCGATTTGTGAAGAACTTTGCAGATATAGCCAAACCTCTGCACAAGCTAACCGAGGAGAAGCGACAATTCTGCTGGGATGAAAGTTACGATATTGCATTCCAGGAGCTCAAGAACCGCCTGTGCAAAACACCTATTTTGGGGTACCCTGATGCGGGCAAGGAATTCATAGTTGACACAGACGCAAGTGATATAGGACTTGGCGGTGTGTTGTCTCAACGGAATGGTGATCAAGAGATTGTGATAGCGTACTTCAGCAAGTCGTTGTCAAAGCCGGAAAGGAACTATTGTGTCACAAGACGGGAATTGCTTGCTGTGGTAAAGTCCTTGCAGCATTTTAGCAAATATCTTCTAGGGCGGAAATTCCACTTACGAACTGACCATGCTGCACTGAAATGGCTATTGCAGTTCAAAAATCCGGAAGGACAAGTTGCGAGATGGATAGAACTACTGCAGGAATACGACTTTGTGATCGAACATCGCAGCGGGAAATCTCATGGCAATGCAGATGCATTGTCAAGAAGACCTTGCCCTGAAGATTGCAAGCATTTTACTAGGCAAGAGGGTAAGGAAGTGGTATCTGTGAGAATGCTCAGGACAGACCAGCTCAGCAATGAGTGGAAGGACAGCCTACAACATGCACAGCAGGAAGATTCGGACATTAAGCCGATTCTGGAATGGATGAAGGCCAGTGCTCCTAAGCCCAAGTGGAGCGACGTCTCAGCAATGAGTTCGACCACGAAAAGCTATTGGGCCCAATGGGACAGCTTGCTGATTCAGGATGGAGTCCTGTGCCGTAAATGGGAAAATGGTCGGGGAGACAGGTGTCATTTGCAAATGGTTGTCCCTAAGGCTAAAGTGCCGGATATTCTACAGCTGTACCATAGTGGTTGTTCAGGAGGCCACCTGGGAGTTAAACGAACTCTCCTGAAGATCCGAGAACGGTTTTACTGGGTCCACTGTCGTGACGATGTCGAGGACTGGTGCCGCAAATGTACAAGTTGTGCGGCTGTAAAGGGACCTCAAATTCGTAGTAGAGGCGCATTGAAATTGTACAATGTTGGTGCACCATGGGAGAGGATAGCCATTGACGTTGCGGGGCCTTTTCCAGAAACTGAAAGTGGTAACAAGTATTTCATGGTAGTGATGGATTACTTCACTAAGTGGCCAGAAGTCTTCGCCATTCCAAATCAAGAAGCTTCAACAGTTGCAGATAAACTAGTTCATGAAGTCTTCTGTCGTTTTGGAGTACCTTTAGAGATTCACAGCGATCAAGGAAGGAATTTTGAGTCTCAAATATTCCAGGAAACTTGCCGAGTTATGGGTACTCAGAAAACACGAACAACTTCTTACCACCCACAATCTGATGGAATGGTAGAAAGATTTAATCAGACATTGGAGAGGTACCTAGCAAAAGTTGTGGAAAAACGGCAACGAGACTGGGACAGGCACATACAACCGTTTTTGTTGTCATATCGAAGCGCTGTTCACGAAAGTACATCAGTGACACCAGCTTTCGCAAACTTTGGGAGAGAATTGCGGCTGCCTGCAGACCTGATCACCGGAATACCACCTGATGCCCCACGCAGTATAACCGATTATGCAAATGACTTGCGGAACAAAATGAATGACATTTATGAGCACGTCAGACAGACGGGCCAGCAAACGTCTGAGAAGATGAAAACACGGTATGACCGCAAAATGAACAACAAGGGCTTTGATGAAGGTTCACTAGTGTGGTTACACAATCCAGTTCGCAGCAAAAGGAAATCTCCTAAGCTTCAAGCTAAATGGGACGGACCGTACCGGATTGTGACAAGGATCAATGATGTAACCTACCGGATACAGAAAGGTGCCAGAGGTACTCCTAAGATTGTCCATGTGGATCGACTGGCGCGTTATTATGGGGCCAATAATGCTCGGGACGAGCATGTCTTAGGAGGGGGCAGTGTTACGCGCCACTATTAATGTCTTGTACATGGCAACACTAGTTACACTAGCGCCCCCTAGTTTCGAGTAAATGAAAGTATTGCGCGCCACTATTAATGTCTTGTACATGGCAACACTAGTCACACTAGCGCCCTCTAGTGTCGAGTAGCAGAACTAGGAGAGTCGAGATCCTTCCAGAAATTTCGGGACCGATATGTACTCGAACATTCTAGATGTCGCTACAGTAGAAGGTTCTGGAAACTATCTGAGGCTCTATATAAGGCCGGTATAGACCACGACCGGGGCAGTATTGAATTGGCGATACAAGAGAATACTTCGTAGCGAAATAACGGCGAACTGTGTTTTATTATTAGTGTGATTTTAGATTGTAATTAGTGTTGTGTAATTAAAGTGTCAATTTTGGTAATTCAATCGGCAGTTTTTAATTGTCTCGAACCCCAAGCTCGTAACAATAATATTTTATTTACACTCACAGGCCAAACCATTGGACGTAGAAACGTGATTGTCTCAACAATAGCTTCATTTTATTAAATAGGCGTCCACTAAGAAAGAATTTTGGAAAATTCAACCACTGACAGGATCGAGTAGGGTGTTACAGATTTTATGCATGTTTTTATTTTACGGGTTGGTCGAAACTTACTGAAAGTATTCTGTAAATAAAAACAAATTAATATAAATTTCCACTCCTTACGTGGGAGCTGTAAAAAAATCATACTTCTAAGCCAACGCAATCAAAAGATACAGCCGTTTATGCCGCAAATTTTCGACATTCGCAAGGGAATCAAAACCTACAGGGTACTTCCTGTGAACTCAGAATCTTAAAATTTGGTATATATATATATATATATGTATATATATATATATATATATATATATATATATGTATATATATATAGGTATATATTATATACCTACGAATTTGTTCGAAACCCTCGGTGCGCGAGTCCGACTCGCACTTGGCCGGTTTTTTTTACTGTGATATTTGTATTGTGTAAAATTACTGTTTTTAAGTGAGAAAGGTTGTAAGAGCGGTTTTTCACTATTCGAAAAGCCTTAGTATAACTTAGGTCATCACTGTCTGGACGTTACAACTTTATCCGCGTAAAACCGCGGGGAAAAATGTTAATATTCTCTTAAACTCGTTTCTCTCTTACTTCCCTAAAATGTTTGTTACATATTTTTTTATATTTCTTTACGATTTACAATCAACATTCAATTGCAGACCTACCGGAGCACTAGCAAACGCAACAAACTTCGACTGGTTTTTTGTGGTATGTTACTTTTTATTATTTACTATAATGTGTTGTGATATAAGTAAGGAGTCTTGGTATGATGTATTTTCTTCAACTCTGCAAGTCAACTGCTCATTGGTTTGAAAATTAGATTGTTTTATTTCGGTGAATAATTCGCATCCAGCATTTTCGTTTACACAATTTTTTTATTTAGAATAGTTGAATAGTTGTCGAAGCGCCTGTTAAAACTAAAAACGTGACGTATAGATGTTAATCTCACAAGTCGGGCGAGCCTTACTTCGCTGCTGAGCAAAATCAAAGCTATTAATTATTTTCTCACATCACTGCGAAAAACTTTTTTTCCTTTTCTTTCCGTTCTGACGGTACTCGATAATAATTACGCACAATAAAAAATTTGCATGCGCGTCTCTCGACACTAAACGTAAGACAAGTTCGTTATCGTAAAATAAAAATATGCTGCTCGATCGGGGAAGGATCACGCTCTCACAAAATACCAGTGTCAAATAGCAGATTCACGGCTGATGTGTTTTGTATGCTGAGTGTAAATAACTGGAGACCTTTTTTACTGCAAACGAGGCATTCCATCTCAGTCCTCATGGCTGTCAACGCATCTGCATTTTGATTCGTAATCGAGAATAGATGTAGATGTCTATGTGCCACAGCAACCACTTACCATCAGGTGGACTGTGTGCTCGATTGTAACCCTTATGGCCGCGCCATACACGATTCAGTTTACTGTCAAGTTTGCAGCGCGCTTGAAGCGGCGTCCGGTAAACTGTGCATTACAAGTTAGTTTACTTGAAGCAAAAATTGAATTTCGATTCTGCCGACTTGATAAAGTATGCAGTGCCATGTAAGCTTGCACGTGTGTATGAGCTGTCAAGTATGCATGACGTTATTGGCAGCAATAAGCGAGAGACGCCATGGTTTTAACTGGTGCGTCATCATGCAAACTTGACGGGGAACTTGAACGTGAGTGGTTTATATGGATGCACTACAAACTGGACGCCGCTTCAAGCTCGCTGCAAACTTGACAGTAAACGGGATAGTGTATGGCATCCACATCCTATGAAAAAAGCATTCGGACGGCGACAACAGGATAACCCGACCGCGGAGTGTCCGGTGAGTGCGTGGGGCGAGTGGTCGCCGTGCTCGTCGCGCTGCGGGCGCGGGCGGCGCGTGCGCGGCCGCCTGCTGGTGGCGCAGAGCGCGCGCCTGCAGCCGCGCCTCACGCGCCACCTGCTGCACCTCTGGAACCAGCGCTTTGCACAACTGCAGCACTTGGTCAGTCCACTATCTTCATTCATCAGCCCCTCACCGTTACCATTACCATTACAGACTATTAAAGTCCGCTACTTAATTAAAGGATATAAATAAAAATGTAGCCGATTAAGAAACTAATATCGGTTCCGGTTAAACGATTATCGGTTCTCCTATGAATATAAAAATCAATAGAAGTCTCGCTAAAACTCGAAAACGGCTAGAAAGATTTTGATGAAATTTTTTGTGAACATTTGAGTGGGTCCCTTGATGGTTTAAATTCACAACTGGACCCGATAGGTGGTACTGTTGTCGAGATCCCGAAATCACTCGTGCGAAGCCGGAGCGGGTCGCTAGTCGCTTATAAATTCGAAATCGGACGTCAAAATGTCTTTTCGGCGATTAAATTATAGTTTGTTTTATTTCGATTAATATAAAGTATTTAAAAAAAGATTGAGTATTTAATTGAATATTTTATGTGTACACTTTTGACCGTAGAAGGAAAAGGGGTGATCTCACGCCGAGCAAGGTGATCGTCCCGGTGCTGTTCTATATATAGCGCGTTAACTTGAGAATTTTGATAGCGCGATTTAGGCTTTGGTACGTTTCGCTTACGGCACGACGACCAGTACCGCCACACGCTTATTTTTTCCGAGTATATATTATTTTAAGAAGTATCAATGCTCAATCGTCAAAATTGTCTCTAAAATACGATATTTGTTCAACCTGTCCTTGAAGTAAACTTCCCCTCATATGTACCATCATTATCATCATCAGCATAGCCCTTCACAAGTCCACTGCTGCACTGCCTACTAATCTGTTGGGCTATGTCGGTTACTCTGGTTCTACTGCGGATATCTTCATTTCTAAGTTTATCACGCAGAGAAACTCCGAGCATAGCCCTCTCCACAGCTCGCTGAGCGACCTTGCGCTTCCTCATACGGCCAGCAGTGAAGGAACACGTCTCAGATCCGTAAGTCATCACTGGCAACACGCACTGGTTGTATAATCTCGTTCTCAGGTTTTGAGGTATATACGACGATAAGATGTGTCGTAGTTTCCCGAACGCTGTCCAGCCGAGTTAAATCCGTCGATTGACCTCTCGGTCGAAGTTGGACTTACCTAGTCGGACATTAACCCCAGGTAAACATACTCGTCAACAACTTCGAGCTTAGTGCTCCCTACAACTACCGGCATAGTTGTGACATGGACATTACACATGATCTTTCTTTTGTCTCGGTTAGGAGACACTATTGAGGTCATTGAGCTTAGTGCTTAGGTCCTCCAGCGATTCCGCCATATGGACTATACCGTCGGCAAATCGGAGGCTAGTGATGTACTCGCCATTGATATTAATACCGTATCCTTTCCAGTCCAGTAGCTTGTAAAGGTCTTCCAATGCAGCAGTGAAGAGTTTCGGGGATATAAGATCACCCTTTCTTACACCTGTCTGCAGTTGGATAGGTTTCGTACTCAGATTCTGTACTCGGATAGCCATCGTAGCCCTACTGTACAAACACTTCAGCATTTCGATATACCGACAGTCAACTTGGCACCGCTTAAGGGACTGTAGCACCGCAAAAATTTCGACGGAATCAAAGGTTTTCTCATAGTCCACATACGCAAGGTATAGTGGCAGATTGTACTCTCCAGTCTTCTGTACAATTTGCCGAAAGGTATTAACGTGGTCTATGGTACTAGAGCCTTTTCGGAAACCTGCTTGTTCGGGAGGCTGGAAGTCGTCGAGTCCGTATGCGAGACGATTCGTAATGACTCCCGAAAACAGCACGTAGACGCGGCTCAGAGGTGAAATCGGTCTGTAGTTCTTTAAGAGAATGTTGTCGTCTTTCTTGAAGAACAAGACAACCACTCTTCTGCTCCACGCCTCCGGAGTAAAGTCACCATGGAGGACGGAATTAGAGAGCTTCTGAAGGACTTCTTCCTGTACTGTAACCAGTACGGTTTTCCACCCAATTTCAAAAGCTCCGCTGTAATTCCATCCTCGCCCGGGGCTTTGCAGTTTTTAAGATGCTGGTGAGCCATTCCAATCTCGCTCAGACTGACGTCCGGGATATCTTCGGAATAGTGTCGGATAAGACTTACTCTTGGATCGTTACTAACGCTTGCGTGTGACTTCAACGGTGATGTGTACAGCTGTCCATAGAACCTCTCAATCTCACTCAAAATCTCAGGTGTCCCGGAAACTATGCTGCCAAACTATGTCTTCAGCTGGCTCACAGTTGGCTCTTTCTGGCAGTCAGATCTCTGGCAAAGACTTTGGAGCCTTGGTTTCACTCGATCGCTTCTTCAATACGAGCTGTATGGAATTAGCGTAAGTCTCCTCAGTTCTTATGAAATTGAAGTGACAAATGAACTTATAGTCCAGAGTAACTTTTGTGAGACGAGGTAGAGCCACGTTGCAGTTGTGTATCATAGCTACAGCATGAATGGGTCGTATCGATCGGGAAAGGACCACGTTTGCTCAAAATACTAGTGTAAAATAGCATGGGTAGTATCGAATTAAGTATCTTGGATAATTGAATAGCCTCCGTTCTTTCCTTTATTACAGAGTTTCTTATTTCTTTCTTATATTATTAAGAATTTATTACATTTGATACAAATAGGAGCTACCAGAGTTAAATGCGACAGAAGAGGATCCTGAAATTGAGAGCATGGTACAGGAGCATCTTGAACGTTGCCAGTTCACCCTCACGCAACAAGAGGCTCTCTGCGATGCAGATGACGGTTGTCAAGTTGTCACACCACAAGGTATTATTATTCATAGGACAAGTGAATTATTATTCAATGATAGAACCAGTTATCAGTTGTTAACAATTTATGTGAGAAGATATATTTCACATAAGTATAAATTTCTCTTCGTCTATAGTTTAATAGCTCAGCATTGTTTAACAGTTTATGCCTGCTTTATTAAACATTTAAAGTTGGTGTCATGTACCCACAGATGATCATGGGAAACTAAAAAATACTTATTTAATTTTTTTTCTACTTTACTTTTTTCTTTTTTACTTATATAAAATTATTATAACTTTCGTATGGCGAGTGTAGAGAAACGGAGGTCCTTTTTACTGGAAAAGAGGCATTCCATCTTAGCCCTCACGGGTGACACCGCTTCTGTATTTTGATTCTTTATTGAGGATAGATGTAGATGTCTATGGGTCAGAGCAACCACTTACCATCAGTTGGACTGTGTGCTCGTTTGTCGCCCTAACCTATAAAAAAACTTATCAGTTCAGTTCTTCGTTTTCTTCTTTTATATTATGGTTTCTCTTAATATAATTCTGCCAGTGTCAAGTCAGTAATATCAGTTCAGTTATATTAAACATTTTCTGAAGTCAGTTAAGAAATTTAAAAATTTTAGAGAATCATCCTATAAAAAACCTGAGGTACTTTTTCTTTTTGACTATTAAATTAGAATAAAAAGTTATAAATGAAATTACGTGCAATATGAGAAAAAACAGCGCTTGATATGATATACAAATTTACGGATCGCAAAATTTTCAAAAAAATCGTAGGTATTTTCATTATTTTTTCTATATTGAATTATGTATCAGAATAAATCTAATCTAAATGCATTTATCGAGAGATTTATTTCTATTTTGAACGACTGGTAAAGTTTTTTCAGAAGTAGATAATAACCGATGTCCACCCTGCGGTGGCTTTCCTAATCTCTGAAAATTATTATATAAACAGATGTGTGTTCCTTGCCGCTGTCGGTGGGACCTTGTCGTGGCTATGAGGAACGTTGGTTTTACGATACAATACGGAACGAGTGTGAACCATTCGGCTTTACTGGCTGCGGAGGCAACGCAAATAACTTCCCTACGAAGGAGATATGTAATAGGCAATGCAAAAGAAAACAAAATGACATTTATAATATTGGTATGTATTAAAAAGTAATGCATTAAAACTTTAGACTTATGTGCTGAATTGATTAGAAATTTCCATTACGCGCAGTTTTGCTCGTGTCATTATAATATTGAGACATAATTGATTTTTGTCAGTGTTTAAAAACCAATTACGTATCTACACAAAAAAAAAACAAAAATAGAGTGGTCTTTCATCATGATAACGTTAGACCACACACATCTTTGGCCACTCAGCAATAACTAATAGAGCTTGGTTGGGAAGTGTTAATGCATCCACCATAATATAGTCCTGACCTTGCACCATCAGATTTTCACCTGTTTCGGTCTCTTCAGAATTCTTTGGGTAGTGTTAGGTTAACATCGAGAGAGGGCTGTCAAAACTACTTTTCGCACAAAGATGTTTTATAGGTCCAGATACCGTGTACGCGCGCCTAAAACGCTTCCATTTCAAAGGCGCCAATATTGGCGTATTCGTTCGATCGTTCCGCCATTATGCCAGCGACGTTCGCTGTGAACATATGTCACGCACCGGTGTTTTTAATTTCGCAAAATGACTGTTTGTGCTGTGAAATCATTTAAAAATTACTCTTGGAAAAAAGATAAGGATAAGAACATCACTTTTCATAAGTAACTATACAATTTTATGGTGTATTTCTTTGTAAAAGAATACGAAAGCTAAATGTCAATACAAGTAATAATACTGCGCAATAATATTCGAGTGTTGCCTAGTCTATGAAATGTTTTTACCATTTTTTAATGTTATGATCAACCACAAAGGTTATCTGTATAGGGGTTTTAAACAGTCTAATTTTACAGATTTTACCCAACCTATAGAGTTAAACCGTTTTAAGGGTTAGGGTTGAACTACATCTGGCAGCATGAAATTGCACTTTCCTGTGCTTCTATCCTTTTTGGTCACTCAGAACCGTTATAGTGTAACCGGTATAATTCCACCCTCAAAAAGCCGATTGTAAACCGGTTTTAAAAGTTTATCTATCATTCTTGACAATTCATACTAATGTTATAAATGTGAAAGTGTGATTTTTTTTGTTTATTTGTTTTTGTCCTTCTTTCAAGCAGCAACGGAACGGAGCAATTTAAAAAAAAATAAACATGTTGCTATCTCTTGGCTGAAGTTTACGCTTAACCAAACTTACTTTTTTTCGTCATTTTACTTAGGATTGAAAAATAATTTAATGTCTTCGTAAAAAGTGTCAATATTTTGTGTTCTACAGTACAAAAGTGTAGTACTCTGTATATATTTAGTAATAATAGATTATAAATATATGTTACATACATAAATATCTACTGTGCTTTTTTATTTATTTTAACTGTTACATTAATTATAGGTTTTTTTTACATATCTTCAATATTTTAGTGCGATGTTCGTATCTACATAAACACACATAAGCAACCATATCTCCATACACACACACACACACACAAATGCACACGCCACGCACACACATTTTATACTCTTAGAATCAATAGGTACGTCAATAGGAATGAAATATAAAATCTCCCACATTTTTTGGGTAATCGATTCGCACTGTTATTACCGAAGTCACGCACATTAATGCAGCCATGGTGCGTAAGATATGCGCGTCACGTGGTACTCACGCACACATGAATCAAAGACTGTCTTCATTATGAACGTTGCGGTGTGTTAGCAATACGGTATCTGGACCTATAAAACATCTTTGTTTTCGCAATTTTTTTGATCAAAAATCCCAAGATTTCTACAGCAACGGAATTATGTTACTACCTTCAAGACGACAACAAGTTATCGAACAAAATCGCACGTATATATTATAAATAAATGTAATTAAAATTTGAAAAAATAATGTCTTGAATTTGTATATAAAATACGAAGAAACTTTTTCCCGACCTATTATTTTAGCTACAAACGGAGCAACGCATAACATTGTTTACAAATAAATTTTGTATGCAATCTTTTTGATGCTTTTTCCTTCGCACATACGAAAACTTTATTAATTTATCAAGCAACGTGGACGAAGTCGTGGGTATCAGCTAGTAATAAAATATAATCACAAATGGCGGAGGAACCCATCACACAATTTCATCCTGTTGGTGTCAATTATGTCAAGAGTCGACTACGTCAAAGGCTAGAAAGACCTCAGAGCTTCCGATATAAACGATCTAAGTACGAGTATACTATTTCAAATATGTCAGATGCGAAAAACACACCGCCGACGACGAGGATCGTTGAAAGTGCGATAAATTTGGTATGAAGATCGCTTCTTTCAGAAATGGGTGGGGTTCATGAGTCTTAAAGAAGGAAAACGGGAAAAAAAATAAAAGGTTAAGAAGATATTATTCACTATATAATATCTTTGTTCAATGAAGTATTCTAAAATTCTTATTATTTAGCCGGATTTCTTTTAGCTTATTTAATTACCATCATTAGACACTGCTTGTACGGCCGATATAGTGTGCCGGGTGATAAGTGGTTATGTTGTGTGAGAATATAACATTTTTGATACTAAAGAACTCTTTTGTAGGCTATATTAAAAAAGATCCGCAAAATTTTCATGAAAATTATCATTTTCATAATTTTTTTTAAATTAAATATTATATTAACTTCCAGGTACCGGAATAGGTATAGGTAACTTACAGGATGGACTTTTAGGCGCTACCTCTTGTTTAAAGTCCATCTGGGTAGATATCTCCCTCTTATTGCCATCTCGATATGTATCACCACAGCAGTACGCAATCTTACCTGTTACTTTCACAGCAGTACACAGCTCTTATCTATGACTGCCGCAGCACTACTCACACTGTACCTATTACTGCCACAGTGTAGGTACTCACACTTACCTATTACTGCCACAACAGTACGCATGCTTACATATTGCTGCCATAGCAGTGTACATTTATGTATTAGTGCCGCAACAGGACAAACACCTCACTCTTAAGACCGGTTGCGCGCATTAAACCCTGTACCTACATGTACGGATCCATAATAACTACCGCTCATGATAAATAAAAGATAAGTACTTAAATAATTTAAAATGCACATATATACAATCCGGACCGATACGACTTAGGGACCTTCAAGAAAAAGCGTACTCCTTTTTAAAATGCCGCAACACATGTGCAATTCCCCTGCACGGCTAGCATGGGCTGGGGACAAAAAATTTATCCCCTGATGATTTCCACTGACAAGAGATAAAATTATCTTGCCCCTATACCAAAGCACAGCAACGGGGAGAAGTGTATCCCCGTTTGACATAATGAGTAGATATATATCCCCCGCGTGGAGCCAAATTAAAGATAAAAAAAATTATGCTTTTTTAACATTTGAAAGGGACAATTCTATCCTAGTTCTTTGGACGTGGGTTTAAGGGTAAATTCATACAAAAAATCTGTCTATGTCTGAGTCTATCTTCCATTTTATCTACTGTGGATATTATATCCACCGGTGTGTCCATGCTCGAAGGGTGGATAAAACTAAGCGAGGGGATAAACAATTTCTCCTTTTCCCGGGGATAAAATTGTCTCCTGCCCATGCTAGCCTTGCAGGTGGCGGTAATCACTTACCATCAGGTGAGCCGCATGCTCGTTTGCCCCCTCTCCTATAAAAAACTTCATCGTGAAATACAATAACTATACTTAATACTTTTTTTTAAATCATGCAGACCCACAAATAAAAAACTACACAAATTAAAAGTCATTTTGATGCGTTGTTGTACGCGACAAAGCATACCTTTGGGTTCAGGGTATGCTTTGTCGCGTTAGTATATTGACAACGAGGGGGTGGAGATGGAGACTGGCCGAGTCTGGTAATATCAACGATAGCTACATTGCCGTTGATATTTTCTTTGTGCAGCTAATTGCGAATGTAGACACATGGGCTGCTGTACTCGAGCTCTTTTGTCACTTTGTTTTTATAGACTTGTCAAAATAATAACCTATACCTAAAACACATTATTTTTTACAGCTCTAAATAGCCACCCAGAGATAATTTTTAAAAAGATTAAACCTACACCTTCCAACCGTGACAACGAAGTTATGCAGAATGACACGCCAATTTTAGCAGGTACTACAATTATTGTAATTATTATTATAGACTGAGATTATAGACCTTACACAACAAAACTATAATTTGTGGTTTTGTTAAATAGTCAATTTACTATTGTTAATAAATATGTCTATAAATATTTTCAGAGTCCGACATACCACTAAACTGAAATATTTGTTTGGAAATATATTAGAAATTATTAAGTACTTTGGTATTATAATAATTAACGTATCGTGGGTACTAATAATATTAGAAATTTAATCAACATAAAGATATTAAAACGGTACGTGTATGTCTAGTTCTATCGAATGAGGTCAAGACTTAATATACGCAAAGAGATTTAAATATATAGTTATACTAACTACTTAAATGTCTTTGAATATACGTAAGACGCGGCACGTAAGTCTAGCGGTGACTGTTATTGCGCATAAGTCGAAAATAAGATGTCATGGGGGTAGTAAGCGACGGCTCCGTGGCGCAGTGGCTTAGCAATGAGTTGTTGCGCTGGGGGCCACGGGTTCGAATCCACCGGGAACAAGTATTTGTATGGCCTACAAATAATTGTTCCGGGTCTGGATGTTTGTCCTCGTGCAATTTATGTTTGTAAACTGCCTCCGCGATACAGGAGAAAATCCTAGTTTGGTGGTAGCGTTTTTTTAAGAAAAAAAGTAAGCGGGTCGCGGGGCTGGCGTGCGTATCGCTCGCACGCGCTGATTGGCTCTGCAGTCACATTCCGCGCGCTGATTGGGTCTCCAGTCGCATTCCGCGTGCTGATTGGCTCTCCAGTAGCATTCCGTCCCCCGTACTGATAAGTGATACGTGCACGACAGTACCATGGGCAGCTATCCCCTCCACGTTTCGTTTAGCGCTAGACCACAGAATAAATAATAGTACGCTAGACTTACGTGCCGCGACTTGTAACATGGATGTCTGTTTCAATATTGTCGATGGTCTTGTTATACTCGAAAGTCGGAGGGATGATTTTTGAATCATCATCTAGGTTATCCATTAACTAAATTATAACCTGACTGATTATAAAAGTAAAAACAATTGAACTATTTTATTCATAACTTTAATGTTTAGATTCTTTTTGCTGTATTTTTTATTATATGAATAAATTTTATCTGAAAATTTAAAATTTGTCACTTACAAAAATAATGAGTCAAGTGATTCGTGAGCACCTTTTTCCAGTTATTAATCATCAAATGTGATTATTATATTATATCTTAGGATTTATTTGTTAAATATCCCTCGGTCGATAGCGCAATGTTCAAACAGTACTGATCTGCAGTATTGCATGGACGCGGGTTAGATTCCCGCATTAAGCAGACGTAAGTATTTGTAGTCTGATTGTTCTGGATTAATGGACAGACATGCGTTATTTACCCATGCAAAATGTGCCCTACATACGGCGGTTCCGTGCCAATGGTGGACGTACTAGTTGAAAATTGATGCTTTAACTGACTGTATATTATCTGAATATTTTCGATATGGTAATTCTGTCATCATTGCATATCATTACATTATAATATCATGTGAATTTTAGATGACGTTGACTGCGAGACGGGTTCGTGGCTTGGTTGGAGCGATTGCTTCGGAGACTGTGACTACGCTATCAAACTCAATTATCGCCTCATTTTGGTATGTTTGTTTGTATATTAAGGATCACTTGAGTATGTCTTGGATATCGTTGTACGTGATTTGGGTTACGTTATCTATATGTATTTTGTATACTCCTTAATAATTTTCCCTAAACTTCGCCATTATTTTAGAACGTATTATGACGTTTTTCAAATTTAACTCTATTAAAGTCAATTTGTTCCTCAACTAATTTGCATAAAAATTGTTTCCAATATAAATAAAAGCGTTCAAGTGTGTTCAAATATAATAAGACCGCTAATAAAATATAAATATATAAATATTAATAAATTTTTTTATAAAGAAGTTAAAAAAATTATCAAAATGCCCTTAACCTTCGCTGAAAGTGAAAAAAGAACAAGTGCTAAAATTAAAAATATTATACAACCGACTTCAATATATTATATAAAATGAGAACATCATCAAGGTAGTCGAAGTCGATTAAATTCGCATTATTAAGGATAACTCGAAAATTACTGGTCAGATCTTGATCAAATTTATATTGGAATAAGTGATGATGAGAAGCACCTGCTTTAAAATACGGCACGATATCGCGGGGCGTGGGACTGTATGATAATTAAGTTACTAATTTTAGTTTTTTTTTAATTATAATCTTTAATATTCCTTTAAAGTAAATAAAGAAATATCAAGATCGGTTCACCTAGAAAAAAGTTCAGAGGTAACACATTAAAAAAGCAGTCGAATTGAGTACCTCCTCCTTTTTAGAAGTCGGTTAAATAGGGAATCTGCGAGATAAATCCGCATCGGGAATTGTAATTGCTGTATTATAATAATAACTTCTTCATCTTATATTTCAACAGTTCGTAAAAATTTAATACTAGGTATGACATTTTTCCGTTGTAGTCACTTGCCTTCTTTTTAAAATACCAGCCGAAATCGAAAAAAAACCCAGGCTGCCTTAATTAATAAATTATCGCGTAAGTCTTATACCGGGCGCAAGTGTTTGCGTGTACCTTGTGCGTTATTACAACATTTCCTGTGTAGTTGATCACTTCAGATAGAAAGTGGTTCGTGGTGCAGGCGTGTAGCGTATTATAGCTGAATGAATGAATGAAATATATTTTATTGTACACCATAAATACATATGAGAGAAAAAAAGCAGCACGAATAGGTCGGATCTACCGGGGTAGGACCACACTCTCACAGTATACCGGCGTGAAATAGCAGCATGAAACTGCTGTTTGTCTGTGATTCTATTCTATTCTATTCTACTGGTAACGAGGCATTTCATCTTTGCCTCGGGAGTTCAACGTTACATACTTACGTTATAACTTATCATTTTGATATCCAACCGGTGGACCACTTACCAACAGTTGGACTGTGTACTCGTTTGCCACACTCACTTCTATAAAAAAAGTATTCAAAATACACCACTTTGGACGTATAAACGTTTCTTCATATTTAACTAAAACCTAGAAATAATGGAGAAATTATACTCACGTATTTGGAGTGTTATAGAGTTGATCGATTATTAACTTTTAAAATTGTGTATTGTTTGTTGCATGTTACCCAACAATAATTTGTAGAACTAAACGTGAAATTATTCTTCCAGCAAGGCGTATCAGGACTTGGGAAACCGTGCTCGAAGCTAATAAAAAGTCGTATTTGTAAACCTGGCTATTGTCGTAAATTATTTCTTGTTAATAATAATTCCTCAGTTGAATTCGATTAAACACAAAATGATAAAAATTTGTAAGCCTAATTTCAAAAAGCTTAGGGCTTACATAGATTGATTAATATGCATATTGATTAGGTGGTAGGGCCACACCACTTTCTGTGTAGGTATTTGAGTCCGTTTGGTGGTAGGTACCACCTGTTACTTTATTTCTCATTACCACCCTACCACCCTGTTACTTCTTCCAAATATCTGTGCGTGCCTGCCTTGTTCCGATCTGATGCGCACAGAGACAAAATATAATTACAGGCTGAGGCATTCTACATGTATAACTTAGTCTTCAGAGATCACAACACACCTGTAGCCTTCTTTGTTTCAAGTTGTCTGCAGATGTCCATGGACTGCAGTAGCCACTTACCATCAGATAGGCTGTAAGTTCATTTGTCACTTCAGTTTTATTTAAAAAAAAAACGTGTGTGTGTACTTATGTACGCACGTAAGAGGTTATACTTCTTAAGCGTAACAAAAAATAACTAAAATAAAACACTTTTATAGATTTATACTGAGGATTTATATATTATATTTGAATAACTACCTTGAATATAGTTATCAGTTCTCACGAAAACTTAACAGTTGACAGAAAATTACCAACTGAAGCATTCGCTTTTAGGTGTCGGTGTGCGCGCGCATTGTAAAAAATTCACGCTTATCATTTTTCTCAAACGCCCCAAAAGAAGTATAACTTCAAAAATTGTTTTCTTGGTACAAATTGATATCCTTACGCATAGGTACGGTGCATCTTTCCTTGTGCTTAAATAACAATTAACGATTATAATAAGATAGTAGTTATTGTAATAATAGTAATAATACCGTAATATTGTTAAAATAGTTTATTTTGATTTGCAAACAAATATCAACAACGATTTGTACACAACTCTTAAATTATTTAATTGACAATCCAAATAATTAGGTAGAAACATAATTACCTAAACATGTCGTTAACTTTTGTAACAAGCAAAACATTTAATACTGTCTAGAAACATCACAGTCACACTAACTTAGCACTTATATATATAATTAAAATAAAATTCACTTTGTGCACTTTCCAATAGAAGGAATCTTATTAAATACTATTTAACATTTATACCAACGTATATTATTTTTTCTCCACGAAAATTCACTACTTAAATATTTCTTGTTTTGATAGTCATATATTTTTTAAATAAAATGTTTATTTATGGTATAACCCAAGGATTTTCTGATACGCTAACGCCATTTTCAAACAAGTTTGTTTTTTTTTTAGGTAGAATTAAATTTAAACATGGAGAAACGTACAGTATTCATAATTTGAAAATAAGCTCGAAAGTAGTACTAAATTGTATTTATGTTTTTTTTTTGTAAAGTATGTAAAATTGTTGTGTAGTGGCGGCGTAATAATGTATAATACCCCTTAACATCCCGTAGGTGTCGTAAATAGCGACAGAGGGAAACTGATAAACGAGATGGACAGCAGCATCTTCTTGATAACAATTGAAAATAATAAAAAACTGCGGTTGCCAACCCATTTATGCAATACCGACTATGACAATAGAGGTAATCTAGGGGGGTGGCCTTATCTAGCTGTGGCCTGTGTTTTATAGGCTCTAATGAATGAATTAATTAATCTAAAGTTTTATTTTTCTCGTATAAATTATCGTGATGTATAATATATATTATAATAATTTGAATAGAAATTAAATTGAATAGAAACATATCTTTGTGTCAAAAAAATCAGAAAAACATATCTATTTTTGCTCCATGTTGATTTGGTTTCTTTTACTATAATATGACTTGCTATGGGTTACGGTCCGGTCAAAGCTATTACAAATTACCTTAATTTAATTTTTTTTTAAATCATACGTATTGGTGGGAGTCGTGTGCACGAATTATATTATGTCATAGTGTAACATTAGGTACATTGTACTTCCTCATATAAAAATTTATTCAACCTTTTAACATACATAAATGCTTAGAAAATATAAAATAATTATTTTTAGTGTAAGGCTATATTTAAAATTATGTACTAATCGTAGATATGAACTTATAGAAGTTCGACGTTTGATTAAAAGTGGCACTCAAATGAAGCTGTGTTAATTGTGTTCCGTTATAATATCAACGTTCAAATTATAATAGCAGAATTATCTCTAAATTAGACTTGTTGGCTGTTGTGTCTTCATGGTATTTACTCGTTTATTTGTATTGATATAAATAATATGTGAAGTGTGTGTTAATGTACATTAAGTACGTATCAAATATATGCGTTTTGTAACATGTTATTTTTTAATTGCCATCATTGTTCCAATTAAATTTAACATCGTTTTTAATATCAACTATATTCTATATGTTTTAAAATACACTGATATGTGTTTTTAATTTTATGAATACCTAATCGTTAAACATTTCCTATTTGTGTCAGAAAACTCAACAGATTTTTTGGAACGAAGTTCCTAATCGCACGGTACGAATTTGACGGATGGGGGCTAGGCGAGAAAAAGTGTAAGATTTTTCCGTCACGACCCTCTTTCTATAGTGCGGGCGAGACGGATAATATCCATGTCCCACGCACTTTTTCTTATCTTGCTAGGAAAGAAATATTATTTTAAATGACGCTAGTGATTCATTTATTTGTATTTGTTAATCAATAATATAATACGTTTATCAATAATAATATACTACGAAAGGAACTTCGTTCCAACCAAGTGTTCCACGGCACTAACGCATGTTTTCTTTTAATTTAGTGATTTTCATTTATAGTATTTAAATTACAATTGTTCATTACTCTATCTATATGCAAAATCATACACAAAGTATGCCCTGGGGTTCACGTATCATGTTGTACAGTAAATATGAATAATTGATGAGGAATCTGCAGCCAATTTTACATCTTTATATAAACGCGATAGATCCACATATGCTTGCTCTCTTTTGACAAAATGAAAGTAAGTGGGTATTGACAAAATTATAGTCGCTTTGTTGTATAAGAGAGGTAGAGTTACGGATGTTACAAAAATAGGAGAATAGTAAAATTTCTAAGGAACGGTACTTTCCTTTATGCAAATATGCACGTTTCTATCACAGACAACTAACGAGCGAAAAGTATTGTCATTTAATTTAAAAAAAAAACAACATCGTTAATTTAAAATTTCGATGTCAATTCAAGTCATCAGACAACAATTTAGTAGTCATACAACGACTGAGCGTAGTCGAGATGTAACCCCAGGTCGGGTTTTTAAACACTTTCACTAGCTCGTTGGGCGTGGGTTCCTCTTTTATCTACTGCGAATAGAAAACGGCGTTTGTAATGATTAAAAGTTCTTTGGTTGGACAAAATTAAATAAAATACTTAACCTAGAATTGTTTTAATTTCTTTATACTTAAAACAATAGGACATTACGTCAAAATGCAGCGTATTGTGAGTACTCAAACACTTCTTTGCACTTTTTGGTAAATTAAACTTACTTATTGTCTCAATGAAGTTCAATTTAGCACTGAGTCTTTTCGTTTGATTTAATAGTTGACTATATGCGAGTTATTAGCGGTCTCCGAGGGGCTTCGCAACAGCGTGGGGCTGTGCACTCTTTTGCGCACGGACAGGAGCATGCTATGTTTGCAAACTCCACCAATGCCTTCTTCTCTTCTTCTGTGCCTTGGAACAATAGTGCTTTATTATTTTTATTCTGTCTAATAGATTAGAAATTATGCGTTCGGCTACATGCAGTGTTTGCTTTCTCTAATCTTAGCGATTTCACATCTCAGTAAAATAAGAAAAATGCATAAAATTCGTTACATGACCATAAAATAATTGCTTACCACCGATTGAATCAAAAGCAAATTCTGGCTGCAGAGTTACAAGACTGATACCGTGTCGTTTGAACACATCACACACAAGTTCTGAATTACGCATATAGTCCTGAAATCATAAAAATATTGATTATTAATTACAATATTTTATACAAAATAAATATTGGTTATTGATGGTTCGTATTACAAGAAATAAGGAACTTTGAAATTGTCAAGAGTAGTAAGTAAAAAAAAAATGGTGAAAACAGGTTTAAAAGAAACATATTTGGCGTCTGTTCAAGCATAGCAGCTGTCTGCTGGAGACTACAAGATCTTCGGACCGTGCCGGGCCGTTCTTTACCTTAGCTGTGTATATGTCATAGTCAGCGGCTCCGTCTCGCAATGGCTTAGCAATGAGTTGTCGCGCTGGGGGCTGCGGGTCCGAATCCCGCACGGAACAAGTATTTGTATGGCCTACAAATAATTGTTCCAGGTCTGGATGTTAGTCCTTGTGCAATTTGTGTTTGTAAACTGCCTCCACGATACAGGAGAAAATCCTAGTGTGGGGGTAACGTTTCAAAAAAAAGGTCATAACCGGTCAAAGTCACTTATGATTGCAAAAATCAGGCAAAAATGTTAGTCAAAAACAGCTTTGACTAATTTTTGTAGTCAAAACTGGTTCCGACCAACGTTCTTAGTCAAAAGTAATTTTGCCTCATTTAAACTTCAAACTATCGGTCAAAACTCGCAATATCAGTGACAGTAGGTTAAAGTGCGCCTGGGGCGGCCCCTGGGCCACCCTAAAGCTGCGTACATTATAATGATATAAAATATAATATTGAAGAAATTGAACTTTTTAAATTCAGAAATTCAAAAATTATTAGTCAAAAGTAGTTTTGACTAATATTCTTGGTTGAAACCACTTTTAGCCGATGTAATTTTATCAAATTCACTATTATCCAATATTTTTGTAGTTAAAAATTGTTATGACCAACGTCCTTAGTCAAAACTACTTTTGACTACAGAAATCAGTTAAAAGTGATATTAACCAACGTCCTTAGTCCAAACTACTTTTGTCTGATTTTTTACAGTCAAAAGTGGTTTAAACTGGTTATGAATTTTGACTGAAAGATGTATATATGATGATATGTATATAAAGATATATATAATGTCGTATATATAGATTTATATATATAAGGTGGATTGATTGATTTTTTTACGTTGCTGTTATACGACGTATCGAATTTGTAAACGTGGAAGAGCCATGCTGCAGTTATACATATATCTAGTTGGAGTGGATCAGACCACGCTCTCACAGAATATCTGGTAAAATAGCAACTTAATGCTGCTGTGTTTCGTATGATGAATGTAGAGAACCGGAGACTGTTTTTACTGGAAACGAGATGTTCAATGTTAGTCCTCAGGGGTGACAACGCATATTTCTTAATTGAGGATGAATATTGGTTTCTATGGTCTACAACATCCAATAACCAGCAGTTGGACTGTGTGCTCGTTTGTCACCCTAACTTTTTTTTTATAGGATAAGTGTGACAAACGAGCACACAGTCCACCTGATGGTAAGTGGTTGCTGCGACCCATAGACATCCACATCTATCCTCGTTTGCGAATCAAAATGCAGATGCGTTGCCACCCGTGAGGACTAAGATGGAATGCGTCATTTCCAGTAAAAAGGGCCTCCGGCCACCTGCACTCACCAAGCGAAACGCAGAGGTAAACCTCTACTTCACGCTGGTATTCTGTGAGGTCGTGGTACCACCCCGGTTCGAGCCGGCCCATCCGTGCGACAGCAAAAGCTGCCGCGTGGCTCTACCACTGTACAAAACTAACTCAATAAAAAAACAAAAACCAAAAAAAGTACTTGTACGACCTGTAATCTTGTTGTTATATGAAGAAAATAAATGAAAATATGAAATATCATAATTTTGAATATTGATAAATAACAGGAAAACGACAAGCAATGTTTTATTATAGAAATAGTGTTTAGCACTGACCTCATGTGAGCCGTAAGCGATGTGAGCAGTGGCCACGATCTTGTCGCGGTGCAGCTGCCACACATGCAGCTCGTGTATGGCGAGCACGCCGGGCACGCGCAGCGCCGCCGCGCGCAGCGAGCACGCGCCCAGCCCCTCCGGCACCGTCTGCAGCAGCACTAGGCCCGCCGACCGCACTGGTACAACGCGATAGTTGGTCAACTCAAAAACATTCCATTTTAGACTTATATAAAGCTCTTAAGAGCCGTGGTAGCTCGGGGGCTGAGCACTTGCTGTAAATTTCACAGTACGCGAGCAACTCGTGTTTGTTCCGCCAATGAAATTGTTAATTGCAATTTTAGGTGCTAATTTACTACTAATGTAATGATGATGATGAATTTACCACGTGCTCGACGGTGAAGGAAAACATCTTGAGGAAACCTGCATGTCTGAGAAATAAGAAAAAAATAATATTTCGAGGACTTGTGTGAAATTCTCCAACACATTGGGGTAGCGCGGCAGATATTTCCTTGCCCTAAAATCCTCTCAGAAGTTAGAGGAGGCCTGTGCCCAGCAGTGGGACATATATAAGCTGTAACTTTAACTTACAACTTTAACTTAACATCACCGGTTCCAAAAGTGAGAAAGTAGAACCGGGATGAAACTATAAAAATATTTATAGTGGTAGCCAAGCACGCAACACGAACAGATCGGCTTAAACACGGAACAACCACGCTCGCAATAATACTGCTGTCTTTCGTATGATAAGTGTAGAGAACCGGAGACCTTTTTTGCTGGTAACAAAGCATTCCATCTTAATCCTCAAGGGTGTTAACACATCTGCATTTTGATTCTAATTCGATGGTAGATGTAGGTGTCTAAGGTACACAGATTCTATTTACCATTGGGTACACTGAGTGCTCGTTTGTCACCTTTACGTCTATAAAAAGGTTAACTGTCATATTATAAATGATTCTAGGTGTAATAAATAACAAAACAATTTTTGAAATTAAATTTTACAATGACAGCGGCAGCGCTTTTAAAATGTCACTAATGGGCACAAAGGCCGTTCGATCGTTTAAGACATAAATTTATGATTTAATGACTAAAACTATAAAGTGATTTGCCCAGCTGTGGGAAAATTGAAGTAAGAATGAAAAAAAATTACATTGTAGACTCAGATTATAATGTTGTGTGGGTGTCGCAGCAGTCGAATAAGAGATTTGCTAAGAAGATATTTTAAACTCCCAAAACATGGCGGTACAACTATCTCGTTTATAATAGGTTAACAGGCATAAAATATCTAGACCAGCGACGGGGAGTAAGAGTCAAAAGGGATGAGACGTCTGGTTCTGTACCAGATCGTTTATTCGCTAGCCAAGCGTGATGAACAAGGCAAATCCTCCATAAAAGGATAACTGGTTACTCCAAAAAGGTTAACTGTCGTACATGGTAGAGTCATGCTGCAGCTATATTAATAGTATAGTAGTAGCACGAATGGGTCGGTTCGACGGTAAAATAGCAGCTTAACGCTGTTGTGTCGCTGTGAGTGTAGAGAACCGGAGACCCATTTTACTGGGAAAGAGGTATTTTATCTTAGTCTTCACGGCTGATAAAGCATCTGCATTTTAATTCGCAAACGAAGATAGATGTAGATGTCTATGGGCCACAGCAACCACTTACCATCAGGTGGACTGTGTGCTCGTTTGTCACCCTTATTCTATAAAAAAAATCAATTGACCCATATTCAGCCGTGCCCTGTTATAGACAGCTGATGTAGAAGAAAGTAACGTCAAAACCAAATAACTACACATGTTTAAACCATAAACAATTAACTACGAATTTCGCTGAGATCATATTTATGCAATCTGTTTATAACACGCGTGTAATTTCAAATGTCTTGACTCTCGCTACGTTATTTCAATGCTCGTTAATCACGCAATGGTAAATGCGATACGGCCACTTCCTCTTACTGTCTGAAACGCCGTATAGTTATTATTCTTTTTAATTTCAAGGCCTGCCAGTTTTGAATGTTGTAAATGATATATTATAGGCTTTTTCATGACGCATCCTGCATACAGGTCTTCATAAATTTTACTTGTATCGAGTCAATGACCTTAGACATAATCATTTTGACAGATGATTTATGTAGAGAATTATTCGAAATATAAAATAGTGTTTTATTTGTAAAGGTACATATGTATGACGTTCTATTTAAAAACACAAGTGGTAAAATTAAAAAGTTTGTACAACCGACTTCAACATAAATAAAATGAGAACATCATCAATGTAGTCGAAGCCAATTAAATACGCCTATTAAGGATAACTCAAGAACTACTGGTAGAAGCACCAGCTTTCAAATAAAAAAAGATCATCAAAATCGGTTCACGTAGAAATAAATTATGACACATAAAGAAAACAGTCGATTTGAGAACGTCCTCCTTTTTTGAAGTCGGTTGAAAATCAGGAAGAACTGATGCAACAGTATTTTAAAAATTTAGGAAGATAGAAAGAAAATTGGTAATCATATACACATAATTCTTCTTTTATTTTTATAGATTTATTCCGAGAAGGTTGTAAGATTGCGTGAAGCTTTTTGGTTTACTTCAAAGATAGAATAGAATGATAGAAAACTAATTCCACTATCTTCTAAGTTTGATAAGTTGTATACTTACTGAAAGGAAAGTTAAAAATGACGAGGACGATTGCAGCGCACGCCGACAGGGCTGGATCTGCAACACGAGCTACTTCTGGTTCCCATTCCGAGGTCAGCCCGGCACCGATCGCAAACAGGCTACCTGATTTTTTTAAATGATTTTCTTAGTATACATTAAAAATACGAAAATATTGAGAATATTAATGAAATACTAAATTCCAATTTGTAATCGTTTTTCCCATGAATTATTATGAATATTCCCTTGACAGGCTAAGGACCGAAATACAGTGGCAGTGATAGAGAATTGCTTCAGTAGGTTTTTTTGTAAATAAATATATTTAATTGAATAAAGACGTGAGCATAAACGTTAGTGTGGAGATGACCTACTGACGATGTCGATAGGTGCGTGCGCTAGTACTGGCTCCCCTGAGCCTGTCTTGAGCACCACTCCACCCCCCTCAGTCATGCTTAAGCGTCGACTGTAGCTCAGCTCCCGACCTGCGAGTTGATGAACTTATAAGTCCAATAAAACAGTAAACACAGACGGTTATCTTGAGGATAATAAATCATACAATAAGAAATTGATGACGAGATAGTGTTCAAGCCATTGAGCGCTGCAGTGATGCTCTACCACTTAATATGTTAAATTTTGTTCATTTTAACATTGAATTTAAACTAGTAGGTGTATCTACTATACTACATACGAGTAAGTAAGTGTTATTTTAGTTAGGGTTTTTGGCAAGGAACAATTAACGCATTTCCATTGACCATATTTAAAAGGCGCTCTTCTTGTAGCCGTTTTATATTAGTACGAGATTGTTTATTTCATATTTAGTTGTTTAAGAAGGAGCATTATTTTCATTTCTGTTCTACCGCGCTATTTACCAAATGTGGAGTACATTTTTAGTATTCCTTAATTTAAAAGGAAAAAATGGAATCCTTATAGGATAGGATCACTTCGTTGACCGTCCGTTGGCCCGTCAGTCCGTATGTCTGTCTATCAAGACCCTTTTTCTCAGGAACGCGTTGAAGTATCAAGTTGAGACTTATATAAAATACGTAGTAGGTTTGCGGTCTTTTGGAAATCCAAACAAATCAAGTTTCTAAGTCAACGCAATAAAAAAATACAGCCATTTATGCGACATATTTTGATATTCGCAAATAAATCAAAACCTGCATGGTACTTCTCTTTGACCTGGAATCATAAAATTTAGAAGAAGCAAGGTCTCAACAAAAATAAAGCAAAAGTCTGAAAAACGTTAATTTGTAGTTTTATCACATAAAAAGATATATTTTTGCGATTACCAACTTACATTTGCAGTTGGAGAATTGACCTTATCGTGAGATTTGACGTGAGAATTGACCGTGACCGTGAATTGACAATGTATGGGACAACATTTTTTCAAATACAAAGTTAAGTTTGTTTTTCAATCCTACTTATCTCTTCGTCAGAGTAATGTTTTCATAGTTTATGAACTTCAAGTAGGTAATGTTAATAATATTGGTGAAAGTAGCTGTACAATAACACCTAAGATTGAGCACACCGATCCTGTAAACCCCAACTCTCTCCTTAAAGATACATTTCATGGAGAAACTTAAAACATACTCGGATAAAATCGAGAGCCGATTCCCATAATGGACGAACTATCTACATACGGCTTTGTACGGAACCCTCGGTGTGTGTGTTAGACTCGCACTTGTTCGGTTTTATTATTTGTACATTGACGTAAGGCAAGTTTATGTGTGGCGAAAATTGTTACTTCGCAGACTTACACTTGATTTGACTGATGGTGTGGTTTAGTTTTAGTCTTGTTCATATAGTTCCGTGAAACTAAATTATCACAAATTACTTAGTTATTTTGTACGTGGTTGAGCCATGCTGCAGCTATATGGTTGTAGTACGAATAGGTCGGCTAAACCGGGGGAGGACGCTCTCACAGGATTCCAGCGTAAAACAGCAGTTTAACGCTAATTCGTATGGTGATTGCAGATACACCGGAGACCCTTTTTACTGGATACGAGGCATTCCATCTTAGTCCTCAGGGATACAAAGCATCTGCATTTTGATTGTTAATCGAGCATAAACGTAGATGTTTATGGGCCACAGTACTCATTTACTATCAGGTGGACAATGAGCTCGTTTCTCATCCTTATCCTATAAAAAATTGTAAACAGATGACTTTGTTATTTTGGGATACTGGGCAATAAAAACGAGTTGCGTGTTTCTTGCTTAGAACAAACTAGGTTTTTTACGTTATTTTGACAGTAAACTTTCATAATTTTCTTATTACTTATATACTCGTACTACAACTTTATTTTGTAACTACCTGTGACTCTATTCGAATAATACTTTTAAAACCATAATAATGTAATTGTTTATTTCCATTTGCATTACACACCAGAGTTATATAAACTTACAGGCTATAACTTTATTGGCTAAAATAACATAAAACCGAACTTGTTTGGTCATCTGAAGGCAAACTAGCAAAATTCATCCTGTTTTTTGGCTACAGAGGTAATTTATAAATTTGTGTTCTATTCTCGAGAGTCACACACAGTTGAGCCGCACGTGTAGGTTACACACAGTTATTTTTGTATCGGAGCCTGGCGCTACCAGTGTGAACACATTAAAAAAATGTGGTCTGCTAGTGTTAACATTTTTAATTAATAAATTATTTACAAACGTATGCAGTATTATTTTTAAGATTCTTTTTTTAAGATTATACAAAATATTTTTCTAGGGCTTTGTCGTCTAATAGTAGCACTTGCTCTGCTGTCTTCCAGCCTACAGGGTAGAGTGACAACGCATCTTTAGCCTTCTTTGTTTAAAGATGGTTACAGGTGTCGACGGGCTGCAGTAGTCACTTACAATCAGGTAAACTGTAAGTTCGTTTACCACTTTGGTTTCATAAAAAAAAATGTTGTTTGGGTTCTTTTGAACAAAGCCGTCAAGTCCAAGCCGTGGCGTCACTATCAGATATCTATTTTCTTCTTCGCCAACCCGTAAAATTCCACTGCTGTGTCCCGTTGTTATCTTTATTTTTTATTAGCGCCGATCTGAGCTGCGCCAGACATTATAGTTAACAACATGGTTATACCGCCACCTACCGGAAGCTATGAGATCGTTCTGGCATTTTTCATAATCGTTTTTTACCCACGGGACAAAATGGTGAGACCACATATCGCATCGTGATATCGCTCTTATTCTTATTTTTTTTTACAATCAGTAATAACTTGATGGATGATTTATTTAACGTTGGTTACCTTTCTTTTAATTTGTGGGTCCTGATGTAGAATTCTAGTTATTGAGACCTAGAAAACACATTGTATTGATTTCTTTGATTTTGAAGAAATTAACCTCTGTTTTAATTCCATCTTTTTTACATCTACCTTTTACTATTGACATGTAATATTTTAAATTCTTAAGTTTGAAATGAATCAAAGCATGTCACGAAATACTGTCAAAGTTTTTGCTTTACACAGCATGTTTATTTGGTGCTACATCTATCTGCATGACATGTTATCTATATGAAGATACAGTAAGTAAAAGTTTTAATAACAATAATAATTGTGGTTATCTGCCAGGTATATGTAGGCTACGATAAAGATTATTCGATTCCAGATTCCTTCTTTATAAATAATGATTGGTTATTTTTCTTTATTGAGTAGGGATAACAATTACAGCTTTACAATATATATATAGTAGGTAACTTATTTGAGGTGTTAAAAAAGAAAATAATTACAAAAATCTACTTACCAGCCAATAGCATATAATTGACGGTATGCAAAAGTAACCCAAGGACAGCACTACCGACAATTACTTTAGGATATCGGGGAGGTTGCAAATGGGAGGAATGCACACCGAGCTGAAGTGCGTTGACAACTAGCGAAAGCGCAAATGAAGCGAACAACACGTGGACTGACAATCGGCCGACGACTTCGATCCGCGCCCAACCGAACGTGTTGCGGAGTCGACCCTCTCGGCCTGCACCTTCATCTGCACGCTCGTACTGTCAAGGAAACAATTATCTGCATATACTACAGGGTATTTCTACTAGTCTTACTTTATCCAGCAAGCAAGCACTTGGTCAACGTCGTAGGTTTTGGATTCATATCCTATCAGAAGCAAATATGCATTAATACATTTTTTATTAATATTGCCGTGGTAGTTTATGTCTTGAAGTTTGGCATTACCCTGAAATTTGGCAACAAATTAGTTTGATTCCAACCGGCACTAAAAAAATCGTTAGTTACAATTATAATCAGAGCTACCGCTAAGTATACGTGATAAAACACGTATACTTGGCGGTACAGGTCCAGCCAGTATGTCGGAGAAATTAAAAAAAAACAAGCATTTTATTCTTAAGTCAGCCAATACGCGTTGCGAACGCTTATGCCATAAGCTGTTTTTATTTTACATTAATACGAGTATTGATGTGTGGTGGCGGCTTTTCCTGTGTGGCATATTCTCACAATGTTATGACATATTTTAAGACATTATATTATTAACTTTTAATTGAATCACTATTGAAGTAATAAATAAAATATTTTAGTTAAATTGCTATACTGTTTGATATAAAACCGCATGGACATTAACTTATTATATACTGAAGTCGCAAAGCTAACATACCTTAGTATAGATCCCGGTTAAGTTAGAATGTTAATAGCAACGTAGTTCTACACCGCACAAAAATATCAAATATTAATTATATGGTGTAAAATGAAAGGCTTATCTATAATATACTCTACGTGGTAGAGTCATGCTGCAGCCATATTAATTGTATATTTGTAGCACGAATGGGTTGGCTCGACCGGGAAAGGACCACGCTCCCACGGAATACCAGCGTAAAATAGCAGCTTAATGCTGCTGTGTTTCGTGTGGTTAGTGTAGAGAACCGGAGACCCATTTTAATGGAAAAGAGGCATTCTACGGCTGCATTTAATTCGCAAACGAAGATAGATGTAGATGTCTATGGGCCATAGCAACCACTTATTATCAGGTGAACTGTGTGCTCGTTTGTCATCCTTATTCTATTAAAAAAATACTAGCTGACCCGCCCGCGACTGCGTTCGCAAGGACAAATGTTGATTCTAAAAATTCTTTTACCAATAAAAAGCTACTCTATCCCTGAGCGAGTCCAAAGTTTTGAATCAAATGTTTTAGAATTAAACCACTTTCATTGTAAGTATACGAGTACCTATGGAGTGGAATTCCATAAATAAATGAAAAAGGTACAAAAGGTCTTATCGCTCTGGAAGCTGGAAGTCATTTCTCCCAGACAACATTATTTATTACGAAAAAATTGTTAACAACGAATGGCTAAGAGGGAGGTGAACATAAATCATACAATGAAGTTAAAAGAAACCATGCGTGAGTGTCGTGGAACTCTCGGTTGGAACGAAGTTCCTTTCGAAGTATATTATTATTGATAAACGTATTATATTATTGATTAAAAAATACAAATAAATGAATTACTAGCGTTTATTAAAACGAAGCGTCATTTAAGATAATATTTCTTACATGACAAGATAAGAACAAGTGCGAGGGAGATGGATATTATTCTATCTCGCTTCCTTATAGCCGCCAAGGCCGTCTACAATACGTCAGAAGGGGTCGTGATTAAAACGAAGCGTCATTTAAAATAATATTTCTTTCATGACAAGATAACAACAAGTGCGAGGGAGATAGATATTATTCTATCTCGCTTCCTTATAGCCGCCAAGGCCGTCTACACTACATCAGAAGAGGTCGTGACCGAAAAATCTTACACTTTTTCTCGCCTAGACCCCATTAGCCAAATTCGTACCGTCCGATAAGGAACTTCGTTCCAAACATAAAATAATAAAAACACAAGATGATGACATGAAGTATGATGGGAATTATAAGTGTTTAAAACTTCCAACTTCCAAGTAAAACGTTTTGTATAGATTTTTGAAGGAAAAAAGGATAGAGTGCGGCGAATATGTTGAGAGAAAGAGTTTCACAAAGGTAGATAATTAATATTGAAGAAGGAAGGGGAGTACGAAAAGACAGATTGTTAGAGCGGTTTTCATTACTCGAAAAGCCAAATTCATTATCATTCTGAAATATGAGAAAGTTTCCATGGGATAGCTTGAGCTTTCCGTATTATGCGATCTCATAATAAATGTGGGTCATGACTGTCTGAATGTCTTAACGTGGACACCGCGGGACCATAAGCTAGTACTAAATAAAATTATTCTAAACCCCAACATAAGCATTTTCTACATGTTCTCTGAATCAATATAAAAATATTGTTCTAGAAGTCTACTGGCTTTTTAAATATTGATAATTTAAATGATATTAAGAAAACCTGCCCAGCCGAGCTTAGGGTTGCTCAGCGAGCTATGGAGAGGGCTATGTTCGGGTTTTCTCTGCGTGATAAACTTGGAAATGAGGGTACCCGCAGTAGAAACAGAGTGACCGACATAGACCAAGGGATTAGTAAGCTGAAGTGGCAATGGGCCAGCCATATAGCTCGAAGAACCGATAACCGATGGGGAAAAAAGGTTCTCGAGTGGCAGCCTCGTACGGGTAGGCGAAGTGTAGGGCGACCGTCCACTAGATGGAGTGACGAACTGGTAAGACATGCAGGAAGTCGATGGATGCAGGTGGCTCAGAACCGTGACTTGTTAGAGGCCTAGTTTTCAGCAATGGACTTGTGAAGGACTGTAATGATGATGATGATGATGAAAGAAGAGCTGAAAACACGAACTCTAAAGTCTTAGCGTAATTTGTAACATTTCGTAATATCTCTAAATAGTAAAAAAAAATTGGTAATTTCTGTTCATTTAGCATTTAAAATATTACTTAGTGTATGTAACAAGTGGTAAACTTAAAAATTTTGTACAACTGACTTCAATATAAATTATTAGGATAACTCAAAACTACTGGTTCTGACCAGATCAATTTAATAAAAAAATAATCATCAAAATAAACACACATAAAAAAACATACATTCGAATTGAGTACCTCCTCCTTTTTGAAGTCGGTTAAAATTTATCTTTTGACATAAAGCAAGCAACCGGAGAATATTCACGATAAAAAATAAGCAGCAAATTTAGTAACCCCCATGGCGTAAGCCCTGCTTTCGTGGAATGGACCTGCTTTCTGAGAAGGATTTATTAAGTAACGATTAGTGAATTGTATATTGAAAATGAATATCTGTGGCCGTCGACGTGGGCTTATTGCTCAACTGGAAAAAAACATTTTGATGTTAGATTAGCTAACACCGTGCCTTAGTTCATTTTTGTTTACGATTAAACCTACGTGATTGAAACCTTTAAAAGCGATTGATGAATAACATTGGTCTTTTATGGATTATATTTTTTTGCAATAATCAATGGTAGCTAAAGTGTTATTGCAAATGTAGATGATTTAGAAATATTTGTATTAGACGGCTGTTGTGGTTGTGTTACCCAATAGTGTGATTCTTTTTCTGCCGACTTCCAAAAAGGAGACGGTACTCAATTCGACTGTATGTTTTTTTTATGTGTGTTACCTCATAACTTTTTACTGGGTGAACGGATTTCGATAATTCTTTTGTAATTGAAAGCTGGTACTTCTCGTGTGGTCCCATATGAAACTTATATTGAAGTTCGCTGTACAAAATTATTAATTTCAAATTATTATTTATCAGTTTGTGGTTTCCACTACAGGGAAAATATCTCGCCAAAGTTGGAAGGATTTGTCGACTCGACATGCTGGGAAGGCGAACGGGCTTTAAAACCAGCAGTCGCTTAGAGCGAGTCTGTACTGTACAGTGCCAGATTCTGGATTTTTTTTTATAGGATCGGATGACAAACGAGCACACAGTCCACCTGATGGTAAGTGGTTACTGTGACCCATAGACACCTACATCTATCCTCAATAAAAACTCAAGATGCAGATGCGTTGTCACCCGTGAGGACTAAGATGGAATGCCTCATTGCCAGTAAAAAGGGTCTCCGGTTCTCTACACTCACCATACGAAACACAGCAGCGTTAAGCTGCTATTTTACGCTGGTTTTCTGTGAGAGCGTGGTCATTCCCCGGTCGAGGCGACCCATTCATGCTACAACCATAATATAGCTGCAGCATGGCTCTACCACGTAGAAAAATTACAATTTGTGAGACATTGTAATTTTAATAATTAAAAATTAAAAATTTTGTACAGCCGACTTCAATATAAGTTATTAAGAATAACTCAAAAACTATTGGTCTGACCTTGATCAAATTGATATGGGACCACACGAGAAGTACCAGCTTTGAAATAAAAAAAAGAATCATCGAAATCGGTTCAACCAGTAAAAAGTTATGAGGTAACACACACATAAAAAAAACATACAGTCGAATTGAGTACCGTCTCCTTTTTGGAAGTCGGCAGAAAAGGATTCACCCATTATTTGCAAGCCCAAGATCTAATTGCCATTTCCCTCAGTTAACGTTTATCACAACAATAGCAAGTACACACGCACAAATAGGTAGTTTATTATACCCATTTAAATAGAATACCAGCGTAAAATAGCAGCTTAATGCTGCTGTGTTTTGTACGAAGGGATGCGTAGACCCTCTTTACTGGTAACGAGTGATTCTATCTTCGTGGTGACAACGCATCTACATATTGATTCCTAATCAAGGATAGATTTAAGTGTTTAGCGGCTACAGCATCCTTTTATACATGTAATGGATTTATAGAGGATTGTGTGCTCGTTTGTTATTTTTGTTCTATAAAAAACATTCTGCGTATATCGTAAGAGGCAACAGAGGGAAACGTAACTGGAGGTGGAGAGTAACATTTTCTTGGTAACAGCTTCAAATTATTAAAAAAAAAAAACTGTAGTAGTCACAAACAGATGGTAGTCTTTAACGAAATTATAAAATTATATAGTACTACTTAAATGTTAAGAGCCGCGCGTTGCTCCATGGCTAATTTCTCTCGTCTATATAATATGTATTTCTAGAATAAATATATATGTATTATTTAAGTTAATACTGATATTATTAAGAATATAGAGGGAAGGTTTTCCAAGTTAATGGAAATCTTTAAATACCTTATAAGAAAGGAGAGTGGTGATGAGCCCAAGTAGTCTGCATAGTGAGTGACAGGTGTCCACCAGCAACGTGGGTGAGTGAGTGACGTAGGAGGCGAAGAGTCTGCTGCTAAAGCCTGTGACTGCTAGCAGTAGAGCCAGCAAAGATCGTGGTGGTGGTAACCATTGCAGCCACTCCTTCATCGCCATGTCTGAACATAAATAATTACACACATTTAGTTAACGAACTAAAATACTATTATGTAAAGTACTTTTAGTAAAACCACTAAAGTTATACTAAAGGCAACGTCCCACTGCTGGAAAAAGACCTCTCATTTCTGAGAGCCATGGTGGAGTTAGCTTCTGTGGCGGCAGGCTGCACATGTCTTGAAATATTTTATTTCTTAGACATACAGATTTGCCTTACGGCGTTTTACTTCATCATAGTGCACGAGGTAAATTAACGGCTGTTAAAGTAACGGTGATGATAATAAACCGGCGTTTGATGCCTACTGCATCAAACGCCGGTTTATCATCATCACCGTTGTAGCCTATCAAAGTTATTAACTAAATTATAAGCTGATTGAATATAAATGTGAAATAATAGAACTGTTTTCTACCGACTTCAAACAGCTGGAGGTAATCAATTCAACTGTATGTTTTTATGTGTGTTATGTCATAACTTTTTACTGGGTAAACCGATTTCGATGATTCTTTTTGAAAGCTGGTGCTTCACATGTGTCTGGTCGGGTCTCATAAATAGTTTTTGAGTTATTCTTAATAACTTATATTGAAGTCCGTTGTACAAAATTTTTATTTTTAAATTATTTATTACATTAAATTATTATCAGGAAGATGCTGTTGCCCATCAGCTGTTTCTGTTAATCGCCTTTTACGATATCCACGGGATGATAATATGGAAATTACGCTTACGTCTCCACCAAATGTCGATTGTTTTCGTGCTATAAAAATTACCGAATACTACTGAGCCTGGTTACTATAGTTCTTAAGCACTTAGGATATTGCACTACCGTTACCGTTACAGTCTATTAAATATACTGCTGAATGCCAATATCCCCCATTGAATATACTCATAGGGGGATTTGCTATAGTTATCATCCTTGGCAGGTGGGTTGGCAACCGCAGTTTATAATTCAATTGTTATTAAGAAGACGCTGCAGCACATATCCTGGTCGCTACTACACGGTTATTACAATACTAGCTGTTTCCCGCGACTTCGCCCGTGTGTAATTTAGGGTTTTAATTTTTTTGCGCGGAACCCCAATTATTTTTCTCAAATATAAGTAGCCTAAGTTATTCCTTGTAACATGAGCTATCTACCAGTGAAAGTCCCGTCAAAATCGGTCCAGCCGTTTCAGAGATCAGCTGGAACAAACATATATATACTTTCATAAGCAATTAGTAAAAAGCTGTTATTTTGACATTACAAACAGAAACTTCAATTTTATTTATTTGTATAGATTAATGTACGAAAATGGCAGACTTTTATCTTAATGTAGAGCAGAGAACATGCTACAAATGGTAAATGTAAAAGTAATTTTTAATTGATTATATTAAGAGTCCCGTGGTAGCTCAGATGATTAGCGGTCGCTGTAAATTTCACAGTTTGCTTCGAGATTTGCGCATACCGCGTTCGATCCCCGCCGGCACCAATGAAATTGTTAATTGCAATTTTAAGTGCTGATTTACCACGTTCTCGGCACTGAAGGAAACCTCGTAAAGAAACCTCCATGTCCGAGAAATTAGAAAAAAAATATTTCGAAGACATGTGAAGTTCCCCAACACTTTTTTTTGGCCTTAATCTTCTTCTTCATCATCATCATCATTACAGCCTTTCATAAGTCCACTGCTGAACATAGGCCTCCCCCAAGGAATGCCACAAAGCACTGTCCTGAGCCACCTGCATCCATCGACTTCCTGCATGTCTTACCAGGTCGTCACTCCATCTAGTGAGGGTTCGCCCTACACTTCGCCTACCGGTACGAGGCTGCCACTCGAGAACCTTTCTTCCCCATCGGTTGTCGGTTTTTCGAGCTATATGGCCGGCCCACTGCCACTTCAGCTTACTAATCTGTTGGGCTATGTCGGTTACTCTGGTTCTACTGCGGATATCCTCATTTCTAAGTTTATCACGCAGAGAAACCCCGAGCATAGCCCTCTCAATAGCTCGCTGAGCGACTTTGAGCTTCCTCATACGGTCAGCAGTGTGCCAGCAGTGTCAATTCGGTGTTAGTAACATATTATTATATTATATGTACGTAACATATATATTTCATAGATTCTGACTTTTCTGATATACCTATTAGTGAATACATTTAGTCGAACAACTTGATAACATACTACTTATTTAGGGGTTGGGGGGGGGGGGGGAGCAAACGAGCTTCATCCTATGGGAAATGATTAACGCCGCCCATAAACAATTACGATACCAGGGGAGTTGAAAGCGTGTTGCCAGCCTTTTAATAAAGAGTAGGTTTTTTTTGGAGGTCCCTAAATCAGAATTCTTCAAGTTTCTTTTCTTATATGAGGAAATTCCTACGCAAACCCCCGCATTCATCGTGCGGTCCCACCAGATTCGCGGAGGATAGGGCGAGTGGTGCCTGGTCATACTAACACTCCTCTTCCTTCGCGACTCTACATCAGCTGCGGCCGTAGGGAAAGAGTAACTTTCTCGACGCAATTCACCTACACACATCTTTTTTTTTTATAGGATAAGGGTGACAAACGAGCACATACTCCACCTGATGGTAAGTGGTTGCTGCGGCCCATAGACATCTACATCTATCCTCGTTTGCGAATCAAAATGCAGATGCGTTGCCACCCGTGAGGACTAAGATGGAATACCTCTTTTCCAGTAAAAAGGGCCTCCGGCCACCTGCACTCACCAAGCGAAACGCAGAGGTAAACTTCTACTTCACGCTGGTATTCTGTGAGGTCGTGGTACCACCCCGGTTCGAGCCGGCCCATGCGTGCGACAGCAAAAGCTGCCGCGTGGCTCTGCCACTGTTGAAAACATCTAAAGTGAGCTTGGCAAGCCCCCTCAGAGCGACCACTTCAGCCCAGCCATTTGGGTTCGTATCAGTAAGAGTAGCACAAAGTTGGTTTAAGCATTGCACAGTCACAGTCTGGGAATTATGATGTCAAAGATGCAGCTCGCCCTGGTCGCCCTCATACGGATAAAGTCAATGCCATTTTTGAAAAAGTGGAGAAAGATCGGCATATTAGTAGTTACAATATAGCCGAGGAATTGAGGATTGACTACATAACAGTTTTGACTTATTTGAAAATGTCAGGCTATACAAAAAAGCTCGATGAACGATCAGCGCTAGATTCTCTAGCACGCGCTTGCGATGTGTACTCTCTTTGACTTGCAAGGCGCTGTACATTCTCAGAGGAAATCTCTCCCGTAGTACATTATAATAAAATGTAAATTAAACTTAAAAAAAAAAATGTCTTGAATTTGTATATAAAATACGATGATACTTTTTCCCCAACTATATGATGTCGTAAATGTTAAATTCTCATTGTCATATCCATATACGAGGTAATGTATACGGCATGAGATCAAAGGACCAAAGGATATGTACAATATACCGGACTTTTTGTTAAAATTTTGGCTTTTGATCGGCAGTCATTCTTGTTATAGGCCTTAGGACTAGTGTTATTGTATGCATGTACCAACTTGAGGTTCGAGTAATTTACGTAAAACCCAAGACACATGGTTTACCAGAAGTGCACTTTTTAGATTAATGATATCTTGACCTATTTAAATTAATGGAATTAATCTTATATTAATTTCGCAAATAATCAACATTTAGTGCTTTAGATATGTATAAGATTTGCATGCTTTCCGATCTCAATATAATAATTTGATAATTTTAATATTTTTGTTAAATTTTCATATGTTATTCATATCGTTCGTTTTCTGTGATTTATTAATCACAGATTACTAAATTAAATTCACAACTCTGACTTGATTACTAAACTAATTCTAGCGAATAAGTTTAGTAATCAAGTCAGAGTTGCGAAGCTATAGGCCTCTGTACGCCGCGCCGTATCGAAAGTTGTTATTTCACGAAACCTAACTATGCTAGTGAATCAAGAAAGGCAACCCGTGTGCTAAGACTGGTTTGCCAATAAGTACCGCACCGCACCCTCGTTTGCTTGGTGATATATTCTATGTTATAGCATCTAAAAACTCGGAAGTTGTTTAAAAAAAAATGGGCAAAATATGTATTTATAGCCCCTTTAAACCAAGACTTTTTCATTTACTGCCAAATCTATAAAGAATTAATCATTCCACTCCACTTTCCACTATCTCGGCGGTCTCTTTTATTTGCTACAGCTGTATTATGGTTGCAGAGCGAATGGACTAGCTCGACTTAGGAAGGTCCACGCTCTTAAATACAAAATAAAGTTGGAGAATTTTTTCTCTGATAATGAGGCATTGCAATGTAGTCCTCAGTGGCGACAAGGCATCTGCAATTTGATTCCTTTTCTATGGGCTGCAGCAACCACTTAACGTCAGGTGGACAATGTAAAAGTGAAAAATCTATAACTACTAATGTCTTACCAATAGACAAGGCCTTATCAACTTGACTGTGGCACACCGGTATCGGTTGAAATTGAAACAAATAAACAAAGTGAGCACTGTACTACGCCGAAATTTTAGTTTTTAAAATAATAAGGGCTAGTTCAGTCATCAGATCAGTCATCAGTTCATCAGATAAAAGTTATTTATAGTATAAAATTTGGATAAAATATAACAAAATCAAATAAAAAATTATATTTGTCTGAATATAATTTTATTGGTTAGACCTTGATCACTTGTGAAGCACCAGCTTTCAAATAAAAAAAGAATCATCGAAATCGGTTCACCCAGAAAGAAGTTATGAGGTAACATACACAAAAAAACATACAGTCGAATTGAGCACCTCCTCCTGTTTGAAGTCGGTTTATATTCAATCAGCTCAAATTATATTTAGTTAATAAGAAAATAAGAATAATTTGATATTTTTTATAGTTTTGTTAATTTTTCATATTATGTTTTTAGTCACATGGAGTAAACTTTAAACAAAGGGAGCTACAGATGCGTTATCAACTCTGAATATTATTATGTAATGGCTGTTAATGTCATTATAATGGCTTTTTGCACTTTCAAATCAAAAATAATAGTAATTTACTCACAA